CAACTCCCAGCCCTCCCCAGCTCTTTTCAGGCTCTCCTGTAGCCTCCTTCACCAAGCAGCTGGCAGCATGTTTGCATGGACCATGGGCTACTGGATGGAAAGTAAGCAGCCAGAGAGGCTGATGCAAGAAACTGCTGTTCAAGAGCCACGTAGACGGAGCAGAGGCTCTGGGGAGAAACTCTTGGTTTTTCATGCCAGATAGTTGTTCTGTTATGAACTAGTACCCTTGTGTAGTAAAGGGCACTTATATTTGCTTTAATGAGCAAGAACTATGTATTCCTGCAGTCATTCCCTACATGAAATATTTTAGGCCAGTTAATCTACCTATAGCAATGTCTGAATGACTTAAAAATTTGAGTACTTCATTCAAGAACAGGCAGATTTATGGAGCCCACAGAGCTGGGATTTTTTTATCCCCTGGTTTCTCCCTGCCTTTTGCCAGTAAAATGGACTGAGATTTGTGTCTGGCAAAGCTGACTGCTTCCCACTGCCCTAGCCTTGAGCACCAGCAGCATCACAGAGTAACCGCACCAGCCATATGGATCTAGAGCCTCCAAACTGTCTTGGGGTCAGGAGCAGCGAGACTAAACCCATGTATTGGCAGCAAGGAGTGTCCAGTGCATGCCTCATCAGTCTGAAACCATTCATATTGCTCAACGTGGCTGAGAAAAGAAGTACCAACTTCGTTCCTGTCACAGACTGTGATGTGATGTTGTTGTATTACAACACTGGAACTGAATTTACATGCACAAAAAAACTTCCAAACAATCTTGCTGTCAAAAAAGTACCTGAAACTGTGACCCTCACCATGATGAAGACCCCTCCTCTTCCTCTCCTTCCCAGCACCTTCTAGCCCTTTCTGAGGAGGAAATGCCTTCAGCAAATACTTTGCCCTTAGTTGATTGTTAACTCACAGCACCAGCCTCCCTGAGGAGCCTGCTGATTACGCCCGCTGATTGACTCTGGCTGCTATTGGTGGTGCACGGCTAATGGTGAGGCTGGCAGCCTTCCGTGCTGGAGCCTGGGGATTTTGTGTGTCTTGTTCTGTGCGTCAGGGAACAGGGTAACATTCTGCTAGACTTACTCAAGATAGAAAAACATTTTTGGACAGAAATGTCTTGGTTTTGATTAATACAAATAATGCTAACACGATGTGAGCACAGAGTGCTTGGTGCCTGTATAATTTTGCTGTGCCGGGAGCACAGAAGCAGGGGCTTACCAAAAGCAAGGTGCTGATGTCCCGCCTGCAGCCTGCCCAGGTTGCACAGGCAGAGGAAGACGTTTCTGATACACCCAAGAAATAGGCATATTTCCATATGTTTCTATATGATTGACCTCTAGAGTTCTGAGGCAAGTTTGCATCTACCATTCTCCTTCAAAATGCCAAGTTATTTGTATTTCTGAGCAATGAAGCATAAGGTGCTTGTGACTAAGCTGCAGCAGCCTTGCATGCAGGGTGTTTCTGTGCAGAACAAGCTCTGAGCTCAGGTGGAAGCTGGAAATTTTATTTTTTTCCCGCTGGGCTTTCTTGCATTATTCTGCAGGGGCTGAGGTGTATCTGCTGCTACACTCACCCCTCCACACAAAATGCCACCCTGCCATGTGTGACTGCACCTCCCCGCAGCGGCCACTGGCCTTTGCCCACCGCAAAGGGGAAATCTTGCAGTGCTGGGAAGGACCAGGGACATTGGCTTGGTTCCTAGAGTCTTCCCAACAAGGTACAGTCTGCGGGGAACAAAGGATGAGGCCATTTCTACTGGAGATGCTATGGATGTGTGTTTGCATAATAAATTTTAAAAAACTAAACCCCATCTGACTTCCATCAGCGAAACCTGGGGGTGACACAAACCATGAAATGACCCTGGAGATACCATCAGGCTCTGGGAAGGCACCATAACTCACATGAGGAACGGGCTACTAAATATAGCACTGGAAGCTGCAATCAGAAATATATTTTCTGCAATGCAAACCAATTAGAGGGGTTGACATTAAACTGGTATACAGTTTCCACATTGCAGCTGTTTCTTCTCTAGAAAGTCTCCTTTTGTAGAAAGTGCTGTTGAAATTGTGTCTGTAAGTGATCTTAGGTGCTGGCATTGCAATGGCAATGCTGCGATTGCAACAGTGGAAGGGTCGCAAAAAACTGATTTGAAAAAAAAGAAATACATCCATCAAGGGTCTTATAGCTGCTGCTGAATCAATTACATAAATTTTTATTTAGCAATAGCATAGAGCATACTTCATTTTAGCAACAAAATGCTTCTTCTAGAAAGTTTCTCTTTTCAAAGGCAAATTCTGTTTTAGACTAAAGGAGAATCAAAGCCACACTGCTTTTAGGTATTAGCAATCACAATAACCTCTCAGGGAGCCTTATTTTCTTTTCATGTACAAGAAGAGCAGTTTATGTTAATCATGGAGAAAAAAAGAAACCCCAACATTTCATCAGACTGCTTGGAGTTATGCCAGAAGCATCTGAGGATGGGGAAAGCAGTCACGCTCAGCGCTCTGATGCTTGCTGACAGGCACTATACCAGAGAAAAAGGCATTGCATCACTTTTTGAATTACAGTGTTATAAATTACTATATTAAAGGGCAATAATGTAAAAAGCCAGTCAAATAGTCAGGTTTAAGTTGAAAGTGGATTCTGTAGTTAGTTATTTTGGTGCTACCATTTTTCAATTAAATATTTTTCCTCCAGCTCATACTAATGGAAGTAGTAGAACCTCAGGAATATAAAAACTGAAAACTTCAGATTGAATCTTTTTATCCAAGGGCTGTAGAGCCCTATGTTTTTTCTTGTAACAGTTGCATTACAGATAAACAACGATCTACTTACAAAGTTTTACTTTATTTAAGCCTGCTAGAGCAAATAAAAACCTAGTTGCTGTTTCCTATCATGGTTTATTCCCCAGAGTAGCTCTAACATAGCTAAGAGATGAAGGCACTCTGCATGGAGGTGCCGGCAGACTTTTGTGGCAACTGCTTCATCTCTGGACCTCTGCTGCAAGTGTTGGCCAGTTTAGCATCTGCAGTGAGGGTGTTAGGTCTCTGCTGGGCTGCAATGCAGGCAGGACCACATGCACAGTCACAGACAGCTCCAGAGCCATGGTTTCATGTAAGCAAACAGGCAGAACCGCCTGGCAATGACTCTTGGCTTCAAACAGATTTCTGTACCCAGACTCCAATGGCAACCCCTTAAGTGGGATTAAACTATAGGCTGAAATGGCTTGAAATGAATGCATTTTAGTCGTGCATGTAAAATCGAGCTTTCCTGCTTTTCTGCTTGCATTTCAACTGCAAACAGCCATCATGAAGCCATAAAGCAGCTCCAAGAATAGAGCACGTCTACTCTGGGTCAGTGCTTTTTTGGAACAAAGATCTCTAAAAACCAACATATGGCAGCAAAGGCTGTGTGCTGGACTGGTTGTACAAAGACAAGCAGGATTTTCCTGGTTTAATCTCCAGATTGGGTGCAGTGATTTAGACATTGGATACCTTCAAATGGACACACACAATGACACCGTTTTCGTTGGTGTAGGCAGACACAGAAAGGTGCTAGTGAGATGGGACTTGCTAACTTGTCTATGCTAGGGTTAACTGCATGCTGTATTGCTTATTTTTGATGATGTAGCTGTGGCAAGCTGTTTTGGAACCAAGGGCATTTTAAGTGCATGTGAGATAAGCACAAACTCATTTTGTCTGTACAGTCCTTAATCAGATAAAGGTCTTCATATATGTGTCTGAGTCCCTTTACCAGCATTATGCAAAAGACTTGAGTCTTTATCAAAAAATAAATAAAGAACAATTCAAGTCCCTCTTCTCTTGGGAACATGAAAGGCACCTTATATGCTGCCATAAGATAAATCTTACCTGAGATCATTCCTGGAGCCACACGACTCATTGAGGACACAACTTATCCTACTATTGACAGCACTTTCTCAGGATGGGAACTTACTTTCCAAGCCCTCTTTCAGATGAACATGCTGTGTTAATTTACACAGTGGTGTAAGTGATCCACCACTCTGTGCTCTGGGCCTGCAGATGTGACATTCGCTCAGCAGACACCTCCAAGCCTACCTAGGAGTGAACCATGAACTACACATGGGAGTTTTACACACCTCAGGAGTTGCTGGAAGGTGACTGGAAGTTGTAGCTCCTAGAGGACCTCTTGGTCCTCTAGAGGACCTCCAACAGAGGACCTCGGCCTAGCCCTGTAATAAATCTTAGCAGAATGGGCCCAAAACCAAACATTTTTTTTAAACTTTCAGTCTTCAAAGTCAAAATAGAAAACCCTGAACTGAATTCAGAGTATCTAAGATACCCTGTAAGAGGAGCTACTGCAACTCAGTTTCCTACCACACTCCAGCATTACACGTTAGGACTAAAACTAATTGTACCTATACATGTACACCTCAGAATCCACATTTTGACTGAATGGCATTGGCAAGGCTTCATATCATAAAACTCACCTGCCCCCATCCTTGCCAAGAGGGAGAGGAAAAGCACCCTGAAGCTCAATAATGAAGTGGGTTCTTCACTTTCCTTCACTCACTATCATATCATCCAAGTAATTCAGTGGGTGAGGGGGAGAAATCAAGATAGAAGTTGGCAGGAGAAAGTACTCCACAACCAGTTTCTTTTAAAAATTGATTGTATTTAATATTTCAATGCCTAAGGCTAGCACTGCTAGACAAATTGCATGATAAGATCTAGTGAAATAAAACATGATTTAAGTACAAAAGCTGGAGGAAAAAACGCTCACGCTTTCCAGAGGCAATGAGGTATTTTAACTATACAAAGTCTGAATGTCCAACAGCATCTGCAGATCTTCCCCTTTGCACTGCCATCTTTGCTGAACGTTGGGCATTCAATAGTTCTTTCTGTGAGTGTTTTTCAAATGGCCAAGGAAAAGTGCATCACTGTCTTTAAAGATGAAAGACTTCTTACATCTGTCTTGCCACATTTTTAGACTGGTCACTTTAAAATGTTCAACCACTTTTTCAAGCCATTCTGACATAAGGTGGAGGTTTGGATGCGTCTTCCTCTGCGGTTAAGTCCCGGGCTGGAAACCGATCTGGCAAGTTAAAAAATCTGTCCCCAGGACCTGCATGGGGAAGGAAAGAAAAAACCATTAAACCTAGTATAGATGCTTGCACAAAATCCTGAATCCCTTTTGGCTCTGAGTATTTTGGTTACTGCAATTTGGCTTGGGAGGTAAAGTTTAATCAGGATGTTCTGTTCACAATCCTGGTGAATATCCAAATACACGGATGGGAAGAGTTACTCACTTTGTACAGCGCAAACCATCTCCACAGCCTGATTTTGGTCCTCACTAGGTTGCAACCACTCCTACGAATGAAACAGCGTCATCAAAATACTCATCTGTGAGTTTGTCCAAGAAGATACACCTGAACCCATTTTAAAAGTCTGTGTTGTCCACTTCCCCTAACAAATTTTAGCTTGAAAGTTTAAAGCAGTCTCACGTTACACACTTGGTATCTTTAGTCAAGAACAGCTGCCTTGCAACCTGTACCCATTAATTCCTTATCTAATGAGGTGGTCAGCTGTATCTGCTTTAATACAGCATCAGAATTACTCCAGTAGAGAAGTAGCTGGTATTTACTACACTCACTTAGCAGAGACACACAGCATGTGCCCCTACTTTACTGAGGTAGAGTCCTCATAAATCAGCATTAAAATGTGGTGTAATATCCCCTACAATTCACACACAGGGGATATTTTTATTATCGAGCTTGTAGTTCTATAGATAAGGCATCTTGGTGCGTAAGTGCCAGTAAGTCTTTGAAATGCTGTACCAGCAGCAATCCTTCATCCAAGAGTGAGAGGAGTAGTTTCTGAGAAGGAGAGCAGGAACTGATAGCAAATGGGACCACAGTAGCTTCAGCATTAATGGTTTGGAAAATGAAGATAACTTAGACTAGGTCTTACACACGACTGTAAACAAGAGGGAAGTAGTAAAAGGAAAGATACAAAAATTATAAAATGCTTCTAACATTCACTGAATTTCTTACAATTAGCCATGGAGGACCGAGATAGAGCTGAGGTTAGGTTTATAGAAGAAAAATACATTGTCTTCCTGGCTTTTTCCCCTCCCACCCACATCCGGTACGAATAAATGGGTACCCTGGACTCCTCACTCACCATCCCAGTGACGCTGTCGTAGCACGAGCAGCGAGGAAGACTGCGGCATCCCAAATAAGCCATTGCCAGCACCACAAAAGCACTGCAGAGGGATGCAGATAACATGGTGACGTTGGCACCCTTGACCACTTTATTAAGTACAAACTTCTGCAAGTAGAAAAGGAGATGTTAAAGCCATGTTCAAAAAGTGAGCTTCTCCACTGAAAATGTTCCAATTACTGCAAGAATGCCCCAATTGCATTGTAGAGATGGATACAGAGTCAGTGCTATTTAAGGCTTTTCTTCCTGTGTTCTAAAGAGCAAGCCAAGTGTGAACCTCAAATAGGAAAAGAGCAAGCAGGAAAATAAAGTTTCTGATACAATGAAAGACACTATGCAATGGTGTCGGGTTTGGGAATAGCTTTATCAATGAGTAGAAATCCAAGGAACGGCTGCTCCTCTTCACACTGAATATGAGAAATGTCTTCTGTTGTACTGTGTCTTAGCAGCCTGCTATTTCAATCTGTCCTGCAACAAACTAATGAACAGCTTCATCTGCCTCAAACGTCTTCATCCCCACAGGGAGCCATTGCTTGTACCAGGTTTGAGGTATAAAAGGGCTAACTCACTCCTTTTTTCCAGCTTTACTGTGGGGTATACACTTGAAATAATACCCAGTTTTAATCATGTAACTGGTGTAACTTCATCACCTGAACTACACATTGGAAAGGATTCAAGCCAGGCAACTGCTGTCTCAGGCCAGGTAAGGGCTGGTAACCATTCCTTTTCATGAGCAGTACAATTATTTTTCCTGGAACAATCCAAATCCTTGCACACTCAGCAACAGCAGTTGATCTGCCTAGGGTGTGTTGAGGTGCGTTACCAGTGTTATAGACAGATACTGATATTTTTTTATATATATATTATAGTTATTGATACTTACTGTATGGATAACATGGATAGGGGCTGAATTCAGCTCTTCCTCTTCACCATAGTTCAGTGTCAGCGAGCTATAAACTACCACAATGAGGATGGCAACACAAGAGATTATGGAAGCACCTATCAGCACATTCACCTACACAGAGAAATTGAAGGAGGAAAAGAAGGGGAGCAGGAATTAAAGCTACCTGTTGACAAATCAACACAATTAATACAGACAAAATGTACCTACAAGCATTGCAGGTACCAGCTTCTAACCTTCTGTAACACTATAAAGTACCGGGTAGCAACAGTCACTTGGAAGCCAAACACAATGCAGTAAAGGTTTCCATGCTACTGAATTTCTGAGATACAATTGAATCACAAATCTTAACCACAGGTGCTACCTGGACAGAAAGACTTTGTTCTTAGAGATCTTATAAACAATATCCCCCTTGAAGGTTGCACGGCTGGAGAGACTTGCCTGGGAAATGCAAGTCACTTAACTGGGTTCCTATTTTACTGTATACAAGTCTTGTTAACAGGAAAGAACACCAAAAGAAATGCATTCACAAGCAAGCATTTTCACAGCTTTTTTTCTTGTTATTAGAGACAGCACTCATCTGCTGCCACAGAAAGCAAGGTAACATTGCATCCTCCTTTTGCTTAGGAATGGAGCAGCTTTTGTGAAGATAACTCAAGGATATAAGCAGAAGGACCAGCTAGCTCATTCCCTTACCAGAACTGTTATTGATTGCCCCAACAACACTTTGCCCCTGCCCAGTATACACACAACCCCCTTCCTTCCCATCCCCAGGCTTACAAGAACGGGATTCTTCCTCTGAGAGGAAAACAAAGCCAGGACGCCTGGGACTCCCATCACCTGCAGAGTACAAAAGAAGTTGGTAACTAGGAGACAAGTATCGAATTCAGAAGATAACTACTACAGAGCAGGTGAAAGGCCCTCGTTTACAAGGCTTGGATCAGAGTAACTGTTGGGTCAGAAATGGATAAGGAAATGCTGATTTCTTCTGTTTTACTTTCTTCCTTACCTTTGCTGGCCTCTCTGTGGTCACTGTGCTTCTGCAAATGACCCTGTCAGCTGCCACTATGCCCCACTTTCTACATTATCCAGTAGTAATTTATTTCATTTAGCTTCTTCAGAGGGAAGTCTGCTTGCACTCGCCTGCCTGCACCACAATAAGGAAACTTTTATTATCTGAGTTCAAAGCAGGAAACCGTGGAAGAGCTGGCAAGGAGTTCTGGCCTCCCTCCCACCCCCAATCTGAGGTAGCACTGGGGAAAGAAAAACCCAACACAAAACAAAGCACAGAAAATATAGGGCAACTTTACCATCCCAGCCCAAATTGGAGCTCTGGTTTTGCCCAGCTGAGACTCTGTTCTGAAAATGCCATCTATGAACCCGCAGACGATGCACGCTGTGCTGAAGGCTATCTGGAGCAGACCCAGCACGACCATGTTCCTCTGGTTGAAGATGAAATACCGATAGCGATCCATCCTGCTTTGATCTACACATAAATCCCCGCACAAGGAGACTGGAAAGCAGTAGGGTAGCCCTCCAGCAAAGCGGAGAATGGCTTTTCCTGGGCAGGAGAAAGAAAGGACAGGAGCATCAGGACACACCACACGTTCACCACGGGGTACAGAGGTCACCTCCTCATCAGCAGCAGTGACAGCGAGCAAAGGTGAGCAGTCCTTTGGGAAATCCCTCAGGCTGCTGCTAGGCAGGTGCGCAGGGCACCACTGCACAGAACTTCTGATGTTTCTGGATAGAGGTGTGTGAGCCTCGCCCCATATCCCACCCCTAACCTTTTTCCTTCGGGTTTTTTTTCTACCCGGAAAGGTGCTGGGCTTTGCTTGAATTTTGATCCTTTCAAGAGAGAAACTCGGAAAGACCTGACCGCTTCGCG